GTTACTATAGAACACTGTACATAATTTATATGTTTTTTTTATACAATATACACATTATGCATGCTAAAAAAATGTTTTTTTGCTTACAAACTCTAGGAAGAAATTTTTTTTATCTCCTGCGCTTAAGTAATGCAAGATAAAAATGTATGAATGACTTTAAAAGTTGTCAGGTTAATTAATAGCTTATCTAAAAAAATGTATTAGCCTTATTATAAAGCTGTAGCCACTTTACAATAAGGCTTACAAAAAAGGGCCAAAGCAGACTCTACTGACTGAGTGTTTTATTATTTATCTAATTTTATGTTTTTTATCCTATTTTATATGTTTTTATCTTTGCTATCAGGCAGGTGAATTGGGGATTAATAAAGTATCTATCTATCTATCTATCTATCTATCTGATCCCCTGGCTCTCCTTTAGTGGGCGGTTTAATGGACTTTGAGGATTTCATTGAACTGATGGGGCCGCGGATGATGGGCGAAACCACAAACATGATGGGACTCAAAGAGCTCAAGTCAGCCTTTCTACAGGTCGGCTAGAAGGAAGATTATTTTAACTGGAATTTCATTGGACCTTTAAAAAATACACCTTTTACTTGAATGGAAAGCTTATATTTTGGTTTATTATAGTTTGACTTGGATGGAGACGGAAAGATAAACCAGGAGGAGATGAAGGAGGCCCTGAAGACTCTGCTTGGGGAGAAGCTGAAGAAGGGAGAGCTGGAGGAGATCCTGAAGGAGCTGGATGTTAATGCTGATGGAAACATTGACTTTGAAGGTGGGATGTCTTTAAAACTTTCTTCTGATGCTCAGTACCCATCAGGGAGGATAGTTATTTCTAAGTTCTTGTATTAAAACCGATACAGCCACATTATTATAATTTTTTTTTTTTATTTCTAAAAATGTTTTGAATGTATTTTACTAAAAGGGTGTCAATAAAGATACAGAATAAAAATGAGGCAAATAAAGAGAGATCTAACCTCAGTGATATATTATCAGCTCTGATTCAGTCTTGTTTCATTTTCAGAGTTTGTCATGATGCTTTCTATCCACTGAGCTCTGGAGCAGCACCTTCAAGGACCCGTTCCTGCAAGACATCCATCAACTTTTATTATATAAACCAACGTATTGTATTTTTTGCTTCAGTGAAGACAAATAAAGCTATGGCCTGATAAACCGGTGTTTGTTACGTCGCCGTAGACTTTTGGTGTTTCACTATAGATCTGTTAAAAGCTGATAAATGACCTGCCCCGCATGGCACTGAAAGTAGAACAAACTGAAGGGTTTATCAGGAGGTGACGGAGTTTGGCATTTTGTGGTAATTTGTAAATAAAGCTGATTTTATTTTGGCTATTTTAAAAAAATACATATAAATCTGTTGAGTCTGTGATTTCATCAGGACAACACAAAGATTAAAGAGATCAGATCAGCTCCCAATCAAACTTTATTCAGAAAAAAAAATTAACCACAAGTACAATAGGATTATTTTTATATGACTATAATCTTAATGATATAAGTTAAATATAAATAAAATATCTACTTCTACACTGCAAAATAATTAAATGAAGTATTTATTTTCTGAAAATAAGTGATTATTTTCTTGAATTGAGCAGGAAAGTAACACACTATGATAAAGAATAAGATAATTTACATTTAAAATAAGAAAAAAACTGCAGTCTCTTATTTCAAGTGCATATCTATCTTACTTTAAGGGTAAAAATGCTTATTCCATTGGCAGATCATCTTATTTCCCACTCAAATTAAGGGTAAATACACTTATTTTAAGAAATTTTTACTCATTTTCAGAATGTTTTTGCAGCGTAACAACAAAGCAGCTTTAAGCCTTGTCAGATTTGCACCCTCTAAAAACCAAATGAAACATGAAGATTCGTTTCATATTCACCAAATACAACCCGCCATTAACATCTTAGATGTGGAATAAGTTATATCATAAGTGTATCAAAATGTGATAAAAACCAAACACAACAGCAAACAGCTGGAGTTTTTGCATATAGAGAACCTTTCATTTCACCAAGCTTCAATCTCACCCCATCAAATTAGCACTTTCTTCCACCGGATACATGTATTGAAAATATATTGATGTAGTTCACAGCTTGTAAAAATCTAACTTCAAAGCATTGTTTTGGATACATTTTACGGTAATATTAATCACTTCTTATAGCAAATATAGTCAGGATTTAATGATTAAGCAACTTTTCATAAGCATTTGACCAATAGTTTTAAATATAAACTATCCTATAACAATCGAATACAGTTTTAGATGTTTTATACTACTCTTGGATGATGTTCATTTTTACTTTGCACAAATGGAAAAAAAAATATTACAGAAAACTTTACGTAGGAGCCGAGCTGAACATTATTACTTTGAAAAATAATTCTGGATAAAAGCAAGCGCTGTATTAACGGTCACGTTGTATTTTCAGGTCAGAAAAAAAAAAAAAAACTATGAAAGCAGACTATGATTTGCAATTCTAAATCCATAGGTCAAATTCTGCACATGATTTTGTAGTTTAACAGCAAACCTTTCAAACCCCAACCAGCTGCTGCATCCTGACAAGATCATTCAAACAATGGAAACAATTAGAAAACCTTCAGGAAATGATTGTCTGGGAGAGCACAAAAAAAGGCAAAGAAACATCAAATATCAGAAGGAACCTGGAATCTTCTAACTGATATCTAATCTTCTCAAATAATACCTAAAATGCCATTACCTCAAAACCCAGATGATTTAATGATGCAGATCAACAGAAGCTAACTGGACTAATCGTTTCATCTCAAAGCTTATTTACTTTTACAGAAACCCACAGGTTTTCATTAATTGAAAAACCAATTAAGTCAATCTAAAGCACAAATAATTGGGCTTTTATCAGTAACGTTTTCCCTCTTCTTGTTTTTTATCAAAACAAACCTATGATGATTAATTAAAATTTTTCGGTGGCCATACTGAAAATTTCACCCGACTAAAAACCAAAAAAAAGAAGCTTCTATTTTCTTTTAATAAGCTAAATGTGAGGGGATTTTATTTTATTTTTAATAATAATCCTTGTTAAAACTAAAAATCAATGTTACACTTCCTCTAAACTTTAATTTAAAAAAATATATACATTTTTTTTGTGGCTTGGGAAGCTCTAAAATCTTTATGATTTTGACTTAAACAAATTAATTTTTTTTTTCTTTTGAGGAGATCGAAATGTTCCCTTTCTAATTTACTGACCTTATTCCCTCTTTTTTTAAATTTGAACACCTTCATTGGTTGTCATGTTTATGTTCTTTTCAAGCAATTTAAACTTATCAACCTAAAAAGCACTGACAGAAGATATTATACAGATAAAAAAAACAGGAGTGAATATTTGTGATCAAACTAAAAGAAACCCAAACAAAAAGCAGCTAAAAAACCTGAACAGAAGTAAAGCTCCATCAGGTTTACAGCAGGTGTGGATTGTGGTGAAGAAAGAATGAGAAATACGGAGTCTGAATTAATCAAAGAAATCACAGTGAAACAGAAAGACTGATTTGCTGAACATGTTCCCTCCACCTTCACTGCTGCATATCAGACAGACCAATTTCACAGGTAGGAACTGAAATGTTTGACACATTTTTGTCCTTTCGTGAGCTTAATTTAGGTTTGCTGATGTGATTTTTCAGGACGATAATGTATGTTTTCCCGTAGCAAAGAATGAGGTCAGTGATCTGGAGCAGCAAACATCCGGGATCCCTGTCCGGTCCAAATCTAAATCAAACGGAGCATAAGAAGGCTTCATCATGCAAAGCCGATCTGCTCAGGGATGCTGAAAACAACCCGTGATGTTTTTACAAAAAAAATCTAATATTTTTTACAAAAACACTTAAAAGGTCAGCTGGTAAATAAAAATCCCTTTCTCCTTTTTTCACTGCAAAGCAGGATGACTGAGGTCAGCTTTTTTCATATTAGTTACCTGGGTCATCGTGTCCAGGTTTGTTTTTATTTTGCACATTTGATGCTAAGTACAGGTATATCCACTGTGATGGATCTATCATCTTCTTCTCTCTTCAGGGAATGTTCGCTCTCTCTTTTGTAAACTTTGTGACACTGAGAAATAGAAGCTTTGTAAACAAACACCCCGACAGCAACACGAAAAAGGAAAGCACACCCTCTTTACATCCTACTGTTCTTTAACGTTTAGGGTTTAAGGAGAAACTTTTCTCATATTGGTTTCATCTTTGATCACTTACTGGGATTCATTCACACATTCACCTCCGAGAACTAATGGAGGGTGTACTTCTTTTTTTTTTTTTTAAGTATGCCTGCAGGCTTTAGCCAGCATCCCAGAATGCATGAGGCTCAGGTTGTTTTTTAGGGCTCAGGAGCTTCAGATTGCTCACACTGACACTGGATCCACATGCAGAGCTGCACTCAGTGAAAGCGGATGCATGCTATCAATGTGAGAAATTGTTTTGATGTTATGGAAGAAAGAAGGAAGTTCACCACAACACCAGCGCCTATATTAGTAGCATGTTCCTGTAGTTTTTTTTTTCTATTGTTGCACATCTACATGCTAACAAATCATTCTAGTCTTTCTATGTTCCGTTCACTCTGTATTTCTTTAAGTCCTACTCTTTCAGGAATCAGAAGAACAGCTATTTTTTTTGCCCTACAGCTCGTTGCTCGGTTCGTCTGCAAACTCAGCCATGATGTCATGCACCCAGATGTCTCTTTCCTCCTGTGAGGTGTCGACCAGGAAGACGGTCAGCTTCCTGTCCCAGGGGTTGGCGCCTTCCTGCACGGCCTCCAGCTGGGCCACCAGAGGCTTCTTCTCTACATGGTTTCTGAAAACGATGGAGGCTTCCTCTGACCACTGCTTCTGCTTCACTCCTACAGAGGAAGGCAGAGCGAAATCAGTCAGTGGATGAAATAATAACCTAACAGAATAAACAATAAAAAGGTAACCTGAAAATACATCCTAAACTACAGAGAAAGGGTTCTAGGATTCAATTGGGATTTATCCCAGTTACACTTGTTGGTAAATGGGGATCCTTACCAATAAACAAACAAATGTCAGGGTTGGAAAATGCAGTTTAAGGCAAAGATTTATATTAACATATAACAGCAAGTTTTAATCCATGATAAAATCTGGAGTTTAACTATTTCTGATCACAAAGGAGAAATCAGTGTTTTGCAAAAGTGTAACGTTTTTTTTTTCCAGTTAAATTGCAAACTTCCATGTCTTTAACTGGGATTAGACACAACAAATAAACCTGAAATGCTGCTGCACACATTGCAGGTAATTTTAGTTTGGAATGGAAGCTGAATAAAGAAAAAAATAACTTTTTTCAGGTTTTCACTGTACGACCACAGCCCTCTGTGAGACTTTAAGCTAAAACCATTTATCTGCATTTCCTTCCTGGTTTTAGACGTCCTCCTGCTCCAAATGAACTCCTTCCCCAGTTTCATGCCTTTTGTGGCCTCTGAATAGCTATTTTTTTATTTTGCTAAATTATAGTAATTTTCAGAATTTAATCAGTTTAGGAAACTAAACAGATAATAAAAATAAAAAAGCATTTTGTCGAATTGATACTTTAAACCCCTAATGAGATGCATGTTAAATATATAATGTGTATATATGTTGTTTTAAGACAAGATACCTACATTTAACTGTTTTGTAATAATTTGTTGATATTTATAGGAGGTGTACCTTATATCCAGATAGAGTCTGCACACAAAATTTACTAAATTAGACTAAAGGGGTATATACACAGGGTGTCAGTCTTCCATTTGAAACAGTAAACCAGACACTTAATATGCTCGTTCAACGTCCGTATTATGTGCGTAGATACACAACGCTGTTCCTAATTTAGGATGAGTTTCTAATTTCAGACGCGTATACGTTCCAGTTTGGGCTAGGAAGAAACAGAAACACAACATCTGTTTTCACAGTTACTTCAGGCCAAGGTGTGTCTTCTACTTGGTGCTTTTTCACAAGATAATCCCCCAACGTCTACAGTTATTAACGCCCAATCAGCAGATGTTGGTAGCTGTGACATGCTGACAAAATACATATTTGAATTCTCATCAGATTGGTCAAAATGCTGGTTTTTAGGTAACCATGTATTGCATTACTTTAACCTTGTGCTGAAAGCAGGATTGTCGCGAGATCTGAGTCTCACAACAAATCCATCTTGAAAGACTCCCGCTAATACGTCCGTCTCATAGCAACCAGCGATCTGGACCAATGACATGCCAGCAGTGTTTTTCTGGGGCGGGACATGTAGGAATGAGGACAGTCAGAAGGGGCCTTGCCGGGGCATTACAATCATGGCTACGCTGGAGGACTCAACTGTCGATAGCGCAATTGACTCAGTTTTAGCTAAAATAGTGACAATTTCTTGATTATAAAACTAGGAAAGAGAAGCAGTTTTTTTACAATTTTAGATGGGAAAGATGTCTGTGCTTTTCTTCCAACAGGATCTGGAAAGCATTTGTTTCTCAGCTTACTCTGCTAGTTGGGAAAACACTTAATATGTTGTAGACGAATCCTATCGTAATTTTAAATGTCACAATTCGCTTCTATGATTGGCTGAAAGCGTATTATGGAAGGCGGTTGCCAGCTAGCACATCACCCAATCAGCTCCAAGTATTGCACTAAACGTCCCTCCTTTTCATTCGGACAGACTGAATGGCAGCCATCCCATTTACTGCATAAAACTTCACTATAACCTTTTAATACGAAATTACTTAATTGTGAGAAAACTAATAATCATTTTTATCCAGAAGACTCAGGACTATGAGGAAAACTAGAATGGGTGCTAAAAGGCTCATTAATTAAGTGATTTCTAAAGAAAGTTTAATTCAAACAGGGGTACCAAAGCAAAAGGAGAAGAGGAAAACATTTTTTTTTATATACTTTTTAGATGCGTATCTATTTGCAAAAGAATAAAAAGGGCTATTGAGAGTAAAGTTTTAGAGGGCAGCATGTAAACTCACCAGCCAGCTGAGCGTGGATGCCTTGGAACGGCAGTTGTCTGAACTCCTTTATCAGAGTTCTGAGCTGACTGCTGCTGACCAGCTCATGTTTACCGTAGTCCAGCTCATACACAGAAACCAGCCCGTTGGTCAGAACTCCCTTCACTAACACACGGTGCCAGCTGTAGGGCAGATGGACACATACTCAGGATAATAAAGTACAATGGCTATCCGGGTATTTATATAGAAATGTCTTGACGTTCATAAGATAAAGTGGCGCCCTAACTTACTTGTTTTCAATTTTAGCGGCATAAATCAAGTTCTTCTCCACTTTGAGGGGTTTCTCTTCAGTTTTATTGTAGTAAAGTATCATTTCTCCCATCAGCACCACCAGTTTATACATGTCTCTCCAGGGCTGCAGCACAAAGTGTCCTGGATGACAAGCCACCGACACGTACACGTCCATATTGTGTCCTGTAAACATCAATGACAGCACTGACCTGTCAAGCATTCTAATAAATAAAGATTTTCTTCCAGAGATTCTTCTGCATTCTTTAATCTTACCAACGTTGGGTAGTTCCAGCAGTGGTGGCAGCTGGAGGAAGGATAAAGGTGATGATGGGGTTTCAGGTGGGCTGGCGGAGATTACGTTGCTTCCTCCCCCTCCTTTAGGTCCGGACAGCGTCCTCCTGGGATGAGGCTTGGCTGGGACAGAAGCCGGTGTTGGACTGCTGCTGGTGGAGTCACTGCTGCTAGAGGTCTTAGAGGAAAGAGGGTTTGCGGACATCTTGGTTGGGCTGGGAGATAATAGAAAAATCAAACAACATCATGAAGACTAATCAGAAGAAAGTTGCATAAAATTAGTAAAACAAACAAACAAACAACAAAAACAAAAGATTGAGACCTGTGGCTGGTCAGGAAGACATCTGGTTGCTGTTTGAACAAGTCGGACTGGGCCAACTGGTGGTTGAGGCTGCGCGCCTGATCATGGAAGTTCTTGTCGGTGAACAAGTAGACATAGACGCTGCGCTTAGTTTCATCTACCTTTGCAACCTGCACAGTGCAGAGGTTTGAGATAAGTTAAAATACAACTAAAGTCAGAAACCTGAAGTCTACAGGAGGAAGGAAGACATTTTGTCGTCCTTAAACACATCCAGCTTGCAAGGTGAGATATTAATGACCTTTCAGGAAAAAAACAAGAATGAACATTCTTTTGCTTTCACAAACATAGAAAAGTTTTTCTAAATTACAATTATCTTTATTCAATCTCTAATAGGAGTAGGATATTCTAGACCTAATTTGACTGATCCATTTATTACAGCTTTATGCACTGAAAAAGCTCCTATGATGTAGATTCCCTAAAAATGTAAGTAAAGGAAAATCCCAATTCAACCCCATAGCCCTACTTTTTAGCCCTACCCCAAAATTCTATGCGTGCCCTAGGGTACCTATATCCCAATACCCCTTTGCATGTAGTGGTAGTGTACAAAACGAGGGGTAGAGGGTATGAACCATCGATAATTTCAGACAGTGACTTGCCAGGGAAGGGCAAGAGACAATTCCCAGAAAACATGGAGGTCAGAAATTCTACGGAGCGACTCGTCGTTCTTTTTTTTTACTTTTAAAAGCCAAACAAGGCCATTGGTGCGGCCTCCCTGGGTTCACCAGATTCTCCCAAACTTCTTTTTCTGTAATTTATTAACTTTGCACCATCTACCAACTTTTGTTTTATCCTTTTGGAGTTGAATGCACTGATTTACATCTATTTTTCTTGAAATTCCCTTTTGAATATCAGGCTCTTATTAGTTTCATTAAAAAAAAGTCAAAAACAAAACCCCAAGAACTGATCCGAATTCATTTTTTGCTGCCAATGTTGGATATTTCAAGCCTGGAAATAATACACAACCCCAACCATGCCTATATCACACCCATAAAATAATCAATTTGACAATATCAATGTTTTTATCGCTCCTGAGTTAAATAAGGTACAACCTAGGTATTTTTAAGCTAGGTCCTAGTTTCTCTGTACTTGTTTAGCATAAACAAAATGTTTGGCTCTGGGATAAAGCAGATCACCTTCATGCTGCAGTCTGAGGTATTCAGCACTTTCTCTCGAAGCCACTGCACAGCATCTGGAGACCAGGACCCCACACTAACAGCCAGGTCGGCTAGGCAGCACTTCACAGCCTGAACACAAACGGTTTCAAATATGACTTGGTTAGAATCCTATTTTAAAAGATGCGGTACAAACTGTGAGACTAACTGCTTGCTTTAGCTTCTCCTGACTTCTTTTCATTGTTGGACCTGAGGTGGGATGGACACAAAGTCGCGGAGGAAAAGCGGCGGGATCTCTCTGAGCTCAAACACCTCTACGGAAGCCTGGACGCCCACATCTATAAACTGGATGTCCAACACTCTGTTTCCGTGCAGGTTGGTTATCTGTGTTGATAGAAAAAACAAAACATTTGGGGAGATGACACTGAACATTTGCTTCACATTTAAGAATCAATATTTAACAATCAATGCAGGGAGATTTTCCATCTTACTTCGGCACGAGACCATTTGCCTTTATAGCGAGCCAGACATCCTTTCCCGCAAAAAGGCCTGGACACCAGAAACTCTGACGTCACCTGGAACAAAGCGATGTCATTACCACCTTGATATCCTTCCTAAATAGGACTCAGCAGTCATTTGTTCAGATGTTGCTTGATAATAAAATAAAAAGGTTGTTTTTCAATGAAATTGGTTTAATTTAGTGTTTTTCTTTACACTTCCTGATAAAAAAAGAGAATAAAAACAGGTTGTGATCCTCCAACAACCATTTTAGCATGTCGTTCCCCTTTTGCAGAGGTCGAAAACCTAATTAACAAACTAAAAGGATTATTCTCTGACAACAACAGTTTCATGCAATCTATTCTTAATCCCTAAATGGTTTCACAAAAATAACATCTGCAGCCATCCTCCTGACGTAAAGCAGTAATGCTGCAAAGGACGACAGAGGCGCACCTTGAAAAGCAAGCACTTCCTGTGCTGCGAACAGATTAAGTCCCTTAGGAATGTCTTAACTCCAGATTATCAGCCTAATCTCAATCTGTGCACGACACGGCCTTAGGAGAGTGACATGGCCGCGCTTAAACTGCTAGTTTCAGGCAGTTTAGTCTGTGCATGCACAGAAACTGTTTCACAATATTAAATACTGAACTTCCTAATCATTATATGTTGTGTTTTCTGTCACCTTTTAAATTGGTTTCAAATAATACATAAACTAAAGATTTAATCAGATGCTATAGGATGATCCTTCCCGGAAACAGTCAGTCTAGTTTGGTGAATATGATGCCATCTTTTGACTACATCTAATTATTTTAGATAAACATTTCATTCTAAACATTTTAGACACATTTTTTAAAAAAGAAAAAAAAAAAAAACCCAAAGTGGTATCATTATTGCTACCTGTGCGTGGAAGTAGTTTTCGATTTTTTCCAGTATCTCATTCAGCTTGGCGAGTCCTCTGGAGGGAAGCTGGCAGTATAAGGTCCCGTCGGAGCAAACGCTGCTGACAGTCACGTTCATATAAGCGCTGTTCACCTGAGGATAAACACACTTCTAGATGCATAGCACTCATAGGCTGTGTCCAACTGTCCGCCCTAATCACTATATGGGGCACTATATAGTGGTTACGGCATTTTATATGAGTCACTGAACATCTAGTGGATCAAAAAGTAGTGGACTCGAAATTTCCCACAATTCACCTTGAAAAGTAGAGATCATCCATGGGCCGTTTCTCAATATTTGTATGTGCGTTCTCATGTGCTCGTGAAACGTCATCAGCCTTAGCCCTAGTAATGTTACAATTCACAAGAACAGCAGACCAAAAAAGGACAAAGTCCCTGGATGTTGTTTTTACCCCTCCCTATTTACCAAGTATGCATCAGAGCAGACATGTCCGTTCTTGAGATTCACAGCTGTCCCAGCATGCACTGCGGCAGCAGCAGCTTTCAATGGAGTGCTCACAGAGCTCAGAGTGTTAAGTTAAAAGTTCTCTTTTCTGTTGATGTTGGTAAATAAAAGTACATTTTAAGATAATTTGAGGTGAGAACATTATACTTTTAAGCTTCATTATATGGCCAATTTACTGATTTAAGGCATAATTTAAAAAAATTATGCGGTCGAGAGGACCGCGGCAACCAGCGGAACTCTGTGAAGTACTGTATGAAGTACTATGATGGCGAGTTTTTTTGTTTTATTTGGCAAAATTTTCACTTGATTTGTGTTTCTGACTGTGTTAATCATTATTCCCCCACTAAATGAAAAAAGCCAGAATTTATTATTATCTAGAAACTATTAATAACAGGAGGTGAAATGCAGCTCTAGACTAGCTGGGTGTGTGGTGATGTCACGAGTACGCTTCTGTTCCAACTGACCCATATTTATGCTGCATGCTCCCATTCTCCCCAAGTCCACACGTTCCTGTTTTCTTCTCAAGAATATACTTGGTGAGGACAAAAGTCCGTACTAGTGTTCTTGTGAATTGAGAAACGGCCATGGCCACTAGACGAGCAGCTATATCCCAGGTGCTTTGCATGGAGAGCTCTCCTTGCAAAGCATTATGGGATTTGATGTCAGGGCGGCCTGCTGGCACCATAGGCTGTCGTAACCCGACAGCGGCGACTAATAACAAAAATGGCGCAGGCATCACACGATGGAGGAGGAGTTATGTGACCAACGGGGAGCAAAAAGTAGAGATCATGTGTTAGAACGTTCAGTTAACTAAGTTCACAACAAAGTCCACTATACAGTCCCTGTTCTATATAGTGATTGAGGGATCCATACTTTTTCTGTACCTGTAACGGACTTGCTAGTGTCTTGTCTTGTAGAGCTTTCACACAGGCGGCGTTAATGTTCACGTCATCGTCCTGAGAAGTATCATAGAGGACCACCAGAGGGATCTGACCTCTCTCTAAGATCTCAGCCAGGAGGATTCTTCCACTCGCCATCGTCTCAAACTTCTTCAGAACAAGTGGCTCCTGGCAGAACGGCTCCAGGCCTGAACAGGACCAACAATTCAAGTTCATTCCAACCAATATCTTTCTAGCACACTTTTCAAGATTGTGACCACAAACTCAAATGTGTTTATCTCTATCTCTCGCTTTGGTAATAGTACACTTTATTTGGCAGTTAGTTGACAGGAAGTTGGTTTTAGACGGAAGGGGAGGACATGTGGCAAAGGTCTGGGACAAGAAGCCGGAACGGCAACATCAGGAACTGAGGTTTCTGCTTAACGGTCACACTTTCTATGCTGAAGAGATCCTTGTTACAGACCAGCACAAAGTAAAGATGTAAACATTTAATGTTCTATTTTTGACAGTTGAAAAAAAAAGTTTGGTGCTTTTGTATTTAATCACTCCTGAATAAAGTATTTCTAGAGATACATATCACTGCATTTATGGCAGAAGGTTCTCCTGAGTCCATGTAGACTCAAGTTTCTGCCTGTGGTTCTTTGGCTAAACTCAATCACATTGAAAGGATTTGTAAATTTCAATTTCTGAAGTTTTCCCACAAATTACTTTGGTCAGAACTTTGGTCTGCAAGGGTCAGCAAGGATCTGCAACCTGCAGCTCCAGAGCAGTAAGTGGCTCTTTAGACCCTCTACAGAGGCCCTTTATGGTCTCTAAAAATGATAAAGAACCAACTAATGGTTTTAAATATAGTTTATTAACAAATATCATTCTTAGAAAGTGTAGTTGTTTTTTTTTTTCATTTGAATTAAACTTTCAAAACAGAACTACATAAATTCCCTAAATGCACCAGGGAGCGTTATCACAGATCCTTCCTCCCAACAGCTGTAAGACCCTATAAACATCAATGTTCCCAACAACCTCAATAAGTTCTTACATTTATGCTGATTTTTGCAGTTTCTGTCTTTGTCACTTAAATAACATGCTGCTGTCATTTTAGCACATATTTGCTATTGCTGCTATTTTTTCACATATCCAATACTGTAGAAAAGTCCACAGCTGTTTATGGCTTATTTATTCACAGTATTTATATTGTGTAAACACTGTACAGTACAGTATTTTAATTGTTTATTTTCTTAACTCCATCTTGTTCTGTTATTTTTAGACACTTTTTAAAGTCCACAATTGTGTGACCACTTTTTATATTGACCATTTTTAAAAATTATGTTGCTGCTGTAATGCCAAAATTTTCGAGTAAAAAAAGGACAATAAAAGGACTTTCTGTTCTATTCTATAGAACCAGAATATCATTTGATAAATTTTTTCTTATTAGCTTGAAAACTTTTTTTTTTTTTTTTTTTTACATTAAATAACATTAAATAATAATATATGCTTCCTCTTTATGAAACTTTAATATTTTGTCCTTATCATAACTCTGTAAAGCCTAAATCATGGAATTATTGTCAAAAAATTCAAATGTTTTAAAACTAGAGCTATCTCTAAAAATGGATAAATGAATAAAAAAACATAAAGTTTTGAATAACTAATAAAATAAGCTATTTGTATTATTTGTAATGCATTAGACATTTTGCTTACTACATGTCTGATTGTATAAATCAGAATTTTCATAAACACAAATATCCCACTGATGATGTGGAGGGCTACAAAACTAAAAATATAAATAAACCGTTTGTTGTTTAAAATGGCAACAGATTTCCTATTGCTGATATTCAACTAAAACAATGTTTTTTTTTAAAGGTCATCTAATATTTTACTATTCATTTAAGTATTCAGTCACTTTTAAAGGTAATTGCATCAAAGTGGTTCAATTCAAGAATGTACAGTAATTAAAATAAGGTTCAACAATATTTTTTTCAACATCTAATAGTAAAGAAATTCATCCATTTTTTCCCATATGCGTCTCATATAGGACTTTTTTTAGAGGATAAGGTTTGTAAATTTGAACAAGCCTTTATGTACCAAAGTTCTCTCACCTGCTAGTTTACACTTTGTTGACTGGAAAGGCAGCTTGAAAAACTTCTCATGCAGCTCCAACACTTTGGTTTTACTGATCACCTCTGAGAAGCCATGATCTACATAAAACACCTGCGGATGCAACAGAAGAACTACTGATATTGTCCGTTTTCCTTTGCTTGTACTTATTTGCTGCCTTTTTTGGGGTGCTTACCTTGACTTTATCAGGCATGACCTCACATATTTGTGCCCTGAGGATCTCCTCTTCCTCAGCCCGAACTGCTACGAGTTGGCCTGATGATGGAGAAGACAAAGGAGCTTGGCGGCTTGGATCTAAGCCATAAAACACCCTCATCTCATCCTCCATTGAGTCCTGCGCCATAGAGTAACCCTCACCGATGTACCTGAATAATGAGGAGAGGCGGACAATGAGAGGTCCCAGTTCCATCAGCTCATTACACATCATTTAGCTTCTCCCCTACCTTAGTATAACTGTGTTGGTGTTGGTGGCCTCCATCACTAGAACGGAGGGGTACTCCTCTTTGGGGATCTGCAGCTGAGGCACTTGGTGGTTACTGAGCCTCCTCCCCAGCTCACTCCTCACTCTCATCTCCTCTTCACTGGTTGACGAGCTCCTCCTGTTGCAGTTCTCATCCTCTGCACCTCCAGTGCTGCTCCGTCTGTACAGGATGGCCCTCTTGGGGTTATCAGGCATCGGGTAGTTGATGGTGCAGATATCTGACAGCAGGTCAAGGTTCTCAAGCACGTGTGCGGGCAGTTTAGCCTTGTAATAAAAAAGAAATACAAAAGTAAGACAAAACAATATTTGCACCTGTTAAATAAAAATAAATTTTTATCAAATTGTGTGCTATTAACTTTGTAGGTGTCCTGGAAGAGCTTGGGCAGAGCGTGGGCCCAGAGACCACTGGAGTACTTCACCAGCAGCTCCTCCAGTTTCTGCTTCAGGTCAGGGCTGAGGGCTGCAGGGGAGGAAGGAGGGCTGGGGGACGAAGAGGAAGATGGTGGAGACTGAGGAGAACAGGAGTCAGGGCGAGCCGGATGATTGGAGAGGGGTCTCATTTGGGTGGGGGTCATTTCAGCTGGGGAGGCGGGGGAGCTTGAGTTAAGGACCTGTGAGGGAATGGATGTGCTGGTCTGCTCCTTGGCGGGATAGAGCAGCAGCTCTGATGAGTTGCTGCTGCAGGTTTTCTCCACCTAGAACAATAAAAACAGAAATGAACAAACTCTTTCTAGATCTTGGGCGATATGTTGGATTAGTTTACACACTCTGAAGGTAAGCACCTTCTAATTTTGTTCCACTAGTCTTTTGCAGGAGTCCATCGACATCCTACATTTTGACTTGCTGATAATTGCTCATTCTAATTTGCAGGCGTCTTTCACATTGATTTTTTTTTTTATCCACACAACCCCAAAACTGTTCTAAACTTTTGTTTTCCTTTCATTAAGTCATTTATTTGCTTTTTTTTTTTACTTAAAAGTAATCCCTAAATATAAGATCTTTCCTGATCCTCAGCTTTTAAACAGACGTCTGAATGTTTCAGGAAAACCAACTCATGACCATGATGCTGCTATGCCAGATTTTTCATTTTTCATTTTAAGTTCCTTTAGAGGAAAATGTCACATTGAAGAGATCAGATTCATCTGTGCCTCCCTCCAGTATGTTGTTTGATGAAACTGGAAAACACCCAAAGTTCAGATGTGGTAAATCAACGAGGTGATATAGATTTAAATAAGAATGATGAAAATGCTTTTATTTTTAAGGGTTTGTTTTATTCTATGTATTAGGGTTTTTTCTGTTAAGTGAAACAATAAAACATAAAAGTCTAGAAACTCAAATAATTTTCTATAACAATGTTTCTTTTCAAGGCTTTCAAAGACTGCATAGGACCCTGCTGACGCATCAAAGTTGACCTCAATAAAATAATCAATTTTTTCCCACTTCCTGGGTCAAAGGAAATTAATAATTTATTTCTTCTTTTTTTATTTATTGGCTTAAAAACTTATTATTTCCTGTTAAATTAAGGCAAGGCAGGTTTATTTATACACCATATTTCAGTAGCAAGATAATCCAAAGTCCTGTATATTAGAAAAAAAGGACTCTGCAGTGGCATAGAGGCATAAAAAATAATCTTAGATAATAAACAATAATGATTAAAAACAGGATAAAATGATTTAAAAAATGAGACGAAAGTTAAGCCTGTTAACTATCAAAACCAGGTAGGTCATTATTCTATGAATGATTAATGAATGTAATCAGTGTCTACAATTACATTCCTACAACAGCACAACAAATTTGCTTTTTTTAGCAGCAAATATTTAAAAAACAAGGGATTCCTCCAAAACGTTCAGTTCGGAGGTCGTACATACAATGCATATGTGGGTCCAGGTCTCCAGGTCTTTGATGGCCTCTGGGGGAAGGTCCTGCTTGTACAGCTCTTTGTAGATCTGGGGCAGTTTTGAAACCCAGAAGCCATTGCTGTACTTTGCCAAAATCTCTCTGATGTGACTCTGGACCTGCTGAGGGTTGTAAGGTTTGCTTTTGCTGGAGCCAAAGCTCTCGTTTAGATTCACTGGTGCTGGAAAAGAAACAGAAGAACACAAGAAAAAAATATAAATCTATGGTTTTTACCAATGCATGGACAATTTAAAAACTATACATGGATATATTGATATGATCTCATCTATAGTATCAAAACAATTCTTGATATTACCGTTTTACAAATTTTTCCTTATTCTCGTTGAAGAATTGATCAAATCTCTAATGATTATTAGATGCCACCAGGGTTTGTCACAATGTTTGAAACCGTCTAATCCAGAGTAACATCTAAGCGGAGAACCCTCAGCTTTTTCATAGTTTTCCCCCCAGACTAAATGTCTTTTTTTACACAAAATGACACTTATATCATATAAAAAAATTCTTATTTATCGATCACATTAACAATTTTAAGTCCATCAACTTTCATTTATGTTGTTTGTGCTTACTTTGTTTAAATAAAATGTATTTAAAAAAAAGTCCCAACCGGAAGTTTATTCTAAGACTTTCAAAGTAAAAGCAAAGTTTTTTTGAAACCTTTGTAAAGTAAAGGCTATAGTGCTATATAGAAATAAGTCTCTGTATTAGGATCGATGGATGGAAAAGGGCATTTGGTTTTTAACACATTTTCTAAACGACAATAGAGTTTGGCTGTCCTGTGAAGACTTTTGCTCGCTGTATAATTTAAACTGCTTCTATGCTCAGTTTAACACTGTCTTAAACTGCAATCCGGGAGCAAACGTGCTGCACTCTATTCCCAAAGGCTTCAAAGACAACTTTCGGAATACAATTCTGGTCTTGACGATGCAGGACACAAATTTTGCAGGTCTGCAATGAAGGGTCCTGACAGTGCAGGTCTGCAGCCAGACTCTCTTGCAGAACTGACACAACTTTCTTGAAAAATATAAAACATGGTGAAATAAAAAAAAAAAGCACATAAGTTGTAATCATAGGAAAAAACAATAACTAACTAATAATAATAATCTCAGTGGCAGCAGTCATTCATAATGAGGCCTTGCCTTATTACCACCCCCTAAGGGACCTTTATCTACACTAGGGGTCGGCAACCCAAACTGCTCAAAGAGCCATATTGGACCAAAAAAAACAAAAAACAAATCTGTCTGGAGCCACAAAAGTGTAGAAGTCTTATATAAGCCTCGTATGGATCTAAGTCTATTAGCTCACCATAAAAAAGAACTATATGGGCTTTAATATATATTAAGCATTCATGATTAAATGTCTATCCTCGAGCAAATATCACATAGTAGCATGAGGCGATGTAATTCATCTCGCTCTGCTTCACCACCCTTCACCACGTGGTTTAGGTTTCGTTGCATCGATGAAATTATAGAAAGATGATAAAGGAAATCTTTCTATGGTGACGTGTTTCTGTTGGGAGGAGTTGATTGAGTCATGAGGAACCATGCAGGAACTGACATCCATTGGAGCACTCTAACCCTGAAATCTCCTTGGTGTTATTTTTATTTTGAGGATTTGGGGGAAAACAATCAAAGAAATTTGTCATCCCTGCATTAGAGCGCTGCCTGTTTGATGTGTTGATGGTTTTCCATCCTTGCAACAAAACTAGCAGCAGTAGTGGAGTTTGGAGATGCAATCCTCTTCTTAAATCTATCTTTGCTCTCCTCTAAATTTATTCAGAAGTTCTGCAATCACACTTTTTCTCTCCCTCCCAACTTGGTGGTCAGCTGAATATTTAGCTTGCCTTCCCTGGAAATGCATTTTCAAATGACTCTTTAATTTTTGACAACCTCTCATTACAAAGCAAAAATGCAGGCAATCCTTCCGCATTGATAATGAAAGTAAATAATTTGGTCCATTCTTTTTTTGATCCTCTTTTCTCATCAGCTATCATCCTTCTTTTCCCTTCAGGATCCATAGTCTGAGACACACCCGCCGCTTTGTTTGCCTGTCGCTGCGCTGCGCTGAAACATGTGTTGCAGGCTATGACTGATCTCTATGGCTATGAAGCAAATTTTGGTTGAAAGAAATGTTTACAGCTATTGTTTAAATTTATTATACAAATTTTTACACCGTTGGAAAACGTTTGTTTGTTTGACTTCCTGCACACCATATTAAAATAAACAAACAAAGAAAAATCTATTTTCATAAATCTTTGAAAAAGCTCTGGAGCCGCGGGTTGCTGACCCCTGGTCAACACTAAAAAGCCATCTTTCCTACCCCAGTCAAGACTGCTCCTTCCTCTGTGAACACATTTTTAGTTTAAGTTATTACAGACTAGCCTCCCCTGCAGCTATTCGGCAGACCAACGTTTTAGTAGAAGTAGGAGGTTCCCAGATGCTTAAAGAACTACTGACATCATTGTCAGATAAAGGGCCACCATTTCACTGAATATAGATTTACTTTATAAATCACAGATATGATGATTTATTTCACTAACCATTTGGACATTTTTGCCTTTGCAAAACATACCTGGAGAATTTAAAGGGTATTACTGTAGCCAATAATCTTTCTGTTTTAGATTAAGAAGTGAAGCAAAATATAGAAACACTGTGTGAAAAAGTTCAGCAGGATGAATGATGGGAATCATGGTCTAAAATGTGAATTTACAGCAAAAATTTTGGGAAGTTTTTAGTCAATTCAACATCAATTAATTAAATATTTTTTTATTTCCTATTAATGTAAATAAAATGACTGGACATCCTTCTAAGCTGCAGTTTGGAAAAACTATAAATTTGTTCTACTCACACCCGCCCTGTTGTGGATTTCTGGAGAGGTGAGCGTGCATCTCCTTCTGAAAGCGTGTTGGGAGGGTCATCCTCTTGTCCTGTCTGTAAAGGGAGAACCAAACAGGAAATAATGATAAAAACCAAATAGCAGGTAATTCTGGTTTTAGGCTTTTCTTTTTAACCTTAATGAACATTGCACTATTTCAAACTATTCTAAATCTAATTTGTGTATCAAGTGAATAGGAGAAGAATTACCCTGAAGAAGAGTCGTTTTTAAGACTTTAAAGTTTAATCAACATTAGAAACTCCTGGATAAAATATACATTACATTTGCTCCATGTTGACACAAGTGTGTTCTAAACCCCAGCACTGACCCTATAATAACATCTCACCGATAAAGACTCATTCACCCTGGATGTTAGACACTTTAACCTGAAACAAAAGCTGACACCTTGATCTAATTTCCCTACCAAAATTCACTTTATATCTCTAATCTCTATATCTCTACATCTAAGAAGTGCCCGCGCTGTTTGGCGGATGTGACATCAAGCGCGTCCATGTTAACTGGGTCCAACCTAGCAAACAATTGGGTCGTTATATTCAAGATGGATTTTGTGGATACTCAGAAGCGACCGGCGCCAACTCAGACACCAATGGCAACTCCACTTAAGGTGAAAAAGGTAAAGAAACAAACAGACATTGTTAAGTACGGGTGTGTGCTATGAGTACGAGCAAGAGTGCTGCAGTTCTGTGTTTTGGCCACAGGTGGCAGTATGATTAGAAGAATCCCATAATGCTTCTTTAATACTTGAATAAATAAAAATATATATGAATATATAACATGGCAAATAAAAACAAACACATGGAAAAGGTAACATATCCCATGCTACCTTTGATCAAACGACACATTAACAAACACATAATTATAATGTATAAAGAAGGCCTTAAGTTGAACAACATCACCATTATTTTCTATCATTTAGAACAGTTTTTGGGTTCAAAACTATATTTAATATTTAGAGCCAAACTAATAATCAGTAGCGGTTCTAGACAAAAGGAAAAAAGCTTAAAGCTGACTGTCGTTTCGAAATAATTGTAAACAGGAAAGAGAAACAGAAATACTGAATTGTCCCACAGGAGGAAACAGATCTTGTCTCCTCTGTCAGCAGGTATCATCATTAGACATTTATCTACTAAGAAACTGCAAAAACTATCAAATAAGTACAAATTGCATCATGCATTTGCCCTTCATTTGAGTATATAGGATTATCAGATGTGATGCACTTGAAATAAGATAATGGAGTTCTTTTTCTTATTTTAAACATAAATCATCATATTCTATTGTCCTACTGCCCTGCACAAATCAAGGGAAAATACTCTTCATTTATTTATTTTTTGAATATCTGTTGTGCTGGATAAGACCATTTTGACCTAATTCTGGGATATCTTGATAACCCAGAGCCAGGTCAGTGATTTTCTATAATTAAGGTTGTATTAGTTTATTAAACTCTTAATACCTAGATCTGTACAACATAAAGAACGCACATTTAGCTTAACACGACCAGTAGCTTCAGTCATATAGTTCCAGTCTTTAGGTAAAGCACAAACTAGCTTATCTTTTCATTTTTTTCCTAGTTTGAAACTTTTTCACTTTTGAATACTTTTTCATTGTTGTCAAGTAAGACATAATTATCAGTCTCTGGCCACACAACATATTCTACTCACTGAACTGTCAAACTTTTGTCTTATACCGACTATTCTCAAAGAGAGAAATATATTAATTTCATTTTAAAAAGTTTTTTTTTTTTATTGAAACTCTAACTCTGGGTTTTGGCTTTAATAGCACAGTCAGGCGCTACACAAATGAAGATGACGTTGACCTGTCCATTAAAAAGATCTAGAGTGTTACACAGAGATATGCTGATTCACTCTGTGCCGGTTTAGAAGAGTTAATCTACCAGAGAATAGAGGATGGATTAAAAAGGGCTCATGTCCCCCCTGAGCTGGGCTCATGCCCCCTGCTAGGACACTGGGATTCCCATCCTGGTGCCCCTTTGTGCTGCAACACAATGGAGACAGAGACAGTGACCTGATCTCCCTGGTTTATCTAAAGGTGGATGGAGGTTAGAGGGAGAACCAGTCACTGGGTTGGGATAAATCTCTGTGTATAGCAGATTACATCTAGCAAGGAAATCTTTTTGAGCCTAAATCAAACGTTTCAGGTGTAAAACAATTCTTATTTTTTTACACAAGGACAAAAAAAAAATAAAATAAGAAAAATTAGTTTATCTTTAAAAACATAAGAACTCAAACTGATGCTGCTAAGAGGGTTTGTGGAAATACCTCTCATGAATTTGTTCAGAAAGAAAAATAAATACTGGATCCCTTCTGATTGTTAGTTGGTCAAGTTATAAGAAAATAAACAAAGTGAATAAAAAAAGACATTGATCCAAAATCCAAATTAAACCCCTTTAACTGAAGGAGATACGTGATCCCCTTCAAGCAAGGCAGAGACCTGGTTCCAATAGACTGAATACTGGTCCAAATTGCCCACACCAGTTGAAGGTGACCAATTAGACCCAACTTACCACTCTCATTCACTCTCATTTCAACATCTCATCATCTGTAGGTGTTGCAAAAATTGAACAATAGTCGAAACTCAGGGGCAACATAATTATGATCAAATTGAATTGTTTCAATAGTAAACTATGTTTGGAATCTTTGATAAAACCAGCAAAGCATTCTGATTTCTAGAGAGAACGTATTGATAAGGCATTGCAAATCCAAAATATAAATTGTCTGGCAGGTTTATCTGATAAAAAAAAAAAAAAAACAGCAAACATTGGCTAAAAATGTTTAATATCCTTCACCAAGATTTGCTGTGATTGTATTGTAAGGAACAAAAATAGAATAAAAATATAACTAACCCTTTCTTTATTAAGCCAAGCTGAATCATTGGATTTGTGATGATATTCACTATTGAATGCACATTTCTAGCACACCAGATTCATCCCATTCTTGAATTCTGATGAAGGACCAATCATAATCATGCAATATGCTAGATGGCATTCACCTAAAATCAGTTTATAGAATAAATGGTAAATAAGGACATAAATGGCAGCATATTACTCCAACTGGATAATTTAATTTATCATGTTCATCAGACTTGTTTACTGACTTCATTGATTAAAATAAAACTACTTCCTTTGCACACAAACAGCCACAGCATGTTTGATCTGCCCAGTTAGCTCGACCGTAACAATTACATGATGAATCAAACTAACCAGCGCTAACTCACTTTTCTGCAGGCAGGTTCCCTCTCTTATTGGCTGCGTTGTGATTGGTCAGCTTGTTGGGATGCCCTCCAGCTCTTCCCTCCGTCAGGACATCCCTCAGGTCTCTCGTCTGTCTGAAGTCTCCATGTCCAGCCCCGCGGCCGGCACCTCCACCTCCTCTTCCTCCGCCTCGGCGGTTTGGCTGCCTCAGAGAGGTTTGGGGTTTGGCTGACGAGAAAAAAGCAAGAGTGACTCAGCAAAAATTGATGGAGAGATGTTACATTTGTCTGAAGGGTGGTTTAAAAAAAATTGGAAGAAAAAAAAACAGATTTAATTAGAAACCAAAAATCAGCTGCTGGTGGTCCACAAACCCCTCCCTTGTATGCTCATGCGTGGTGCATGAGGCTTTGGTAAATCGGCTCTAATCTGTCTCAACTGTAGGATTTAGCCACAAACATCTCACGAGGGGGTTGCTTAGTGGTCGCAGTGGGCAGCACTATTTCTTGCGGCAAGAACGTTGCGGGTTCAATTACCGGCCTGGGGTCTTTCTGCATGGAGTTTGCATGTTCTCACTGACTTTGCATTTAGGCATGCATGGGTTTTCTCCGAGTACTCCGGCTTCCTCCCACAGTCCAAAAACATGACTTTTCTAAATTCTCCTTATGTGTGAGTGTGTGAATGGTTGTTTGTCATGTTTGTCTCCGTGTTGCCCTGCAATGGACTGGCGACCTGTCCAGGTCATACACCCTGTCCAGAGTGTACCCGGCCTCTCGCCCGTAGAAAGCTTGCAACCCCGCTTGGGATGAAGTGTGTCAGAAAAAAAAGGGCTGACTGAATTTCTAACATGCTTGATTTTCTCTCGAGATTAAGATTCCTGATCTGGAGGTGGTTGTGAGGACGGACATAGAGGCTGAAACTCGGCCCGGTCGAAGAAATTCTCGCAAGACTGGAAATGGCAAAAAATCGTACAGTGTGTGCCCGGCTTTAGGGGTCTATGGTGCAGGGCCGGGTCGTGAAGGTGACTGCTCGATGCTGATTGGCCAACTTTTGGGAGTGGCGGCCCAGTGGTTAGGCCATTGCGCTTGGAATCCTGAAGTTCTGAGTTAAAGTCCCACGGACTGCCACTCTGGATCCCTGAGCAAGACCCTTACCCCCCCCCCCATTGCTCCTCAGGCACCGCACAATGGCAGCCCACTGCTTCCAAAGGGGATGGGTTAAATGCAGAGAGTTAATTTAATTGCTCTGTACTTGTCACAGTGTAATGACAATAAAACGCTGGGAAAAGAAAAAAACCCAAAAACATACTCAAGTATGTCTGACTGACAATAATCAGACAGCGAGGAGGTTTTCCTCATGAGTCAAGGGGGAAAACTGATCATTCAGTCAGAACAGTCATTTTGTGCTGAACTGTTGCCTTGGTTTCTGGAGTTAATTATTTCTGAGCGCATCACAGCTATTTTCACCCATTGTAGTGATGTGATTTTATATGTTTCAACAAGTTTTAATGCAATAAGTGACTTTGGATTTAATTAACATCATTGATCCTCCCCTGTTTCAGAGAGCAGCAGCTCCCACTGAGTTTCAGATATGTTTCTGCCCTGTTGGGGAACATTGTAAGTTGATCAATTTAATCGCTCTTATGATGTCATTGACTCTAATACACATGTAGCAGAACTTGCAGCTCATTTCCTCGGTGCGCTTTCCAAAATGTCTGCATTTTGGGAAATACAGCACATTTTTTTTCTGTGTACATTTGATGGTCAAAATAAATCTGGGCCTCTCAGTTTTACTGTATTGCATCAGCGAAGCTTAGCATGACATTACATTTCTGATGCGTGGCATCAGAGGTATACTTCTACTCACTCCCTCCCTTTCAATCCTCCTCCCTCTGTTGCTCACTCATTCCTTAAGCCTTTCTATGTCAGAACTTTCTGATGCTTTAAAATCTACCATATTTTTATTCTTACCGATCTTGGTTAAATCAACCCAGTTACGAAAAAAAAAAAGCCGGGCGGCTTCAGTAGCCTTACTCAGCAGACAGTTCCTGCTTCAGCCCCTGAGTCAACACACACTGATGCATATAACGCAGAACTGAGCTGACATCCACATGCAGATATTTACGTAAGGACGACCACTCACATGCACTAAGAGAGAACGTCACATCACCCTGCAGACGTGGACTCACGGCTTCTGCTCTGCCTCAGCCTGAATATCAATAACCTCGGCAGTGAGAAGAGGATGAGGAGGAGGGCTCGATTTGTGAATCAGCTTCTCTACGCTTGTGCAGCGTGAACCGGATCACCCCACTCCAACCCCCTCCTTTCCCGTCACCAGACCACCTCCTCAGTGTCTCTCATCCATTTTTCTCCCTCCCTTCTGCGCCGCCACCTCTTACCAACCAGCCCCCCCCCCCCGACTTCTAAGAATATTCTGCAGCATCCCCGTCTAGCAGAGAAATAAAGTGGTCTTCGTAGGAGTAATTTCTGTTGGTGAACGTGCGTCTATTACAGGGTTCTTCCTAGTTATTTAAATGTAAAGTGGAGGATGATCTTTATATGGGTGATCATCAAAGTAATTAATCCTCCTAATTTTCAATCATTCTGGTGATATGTTTACGTCAGGCCGTCCTACGTGCTCGTCCCTATTTTCAATTACCGGTGGAAAAATTGCAAATCTTCTTTTAGAAAGGAAGCCTAAAAAAATAAAATAAAAAACTAAAAAAAGCTTGTATGAGCGATGCAAACTAACTTTTAAACAGAGCGTGCACGAGGAGAAATGGGCTTTTGCATGCTCTAGCACGCGTTTAATAGGCGCTCCCTCCCGGGAGTGCGTACAGGGCTGTGCATTTGCATTTTTTTTCTTTTTAAAGTGGAGAGAGAAGGTGAGTCTTTGCAAAAATTTACAAAAATCCTCCACTATACTTTTAAGACTGATTAGCAAAAAGTATTTTCCATAAATACACACTCATATTTTCTACTCCCTCCTCCTGCTTTGCACATCTCATTATTACTATTATGCTATTTTTAAATACCTTACAGTAT